CATTATTATTTTCCATAGCACGACAAAAGCTTTTAATGGTTTTAATCGTGAAAGTGCGGATAGGGTAAATGGGTATAATTATTGGCATGAAACCAGCAGTGAGGCAAAATAGGAAGGAAGAGTCTTACTCACTTTGAGCTTTAAACCATTGAAAGTTCATAAACAAGATAAATTTCACATTGCAATGACTTAGAATTAAATATCTCCTATTGGACTCTTAGATTAGCGAATGTAGTTATGTTAACAATGCTATGCCGAGGATAACAAAACCATTCGCTTGGTATTATTGGCTTATTAAGGACAATTGAAGCAAGTTCAATTAACAATTATGGAGATTTTGGGCAAAAATTCTCATCTTCAAGTTTAGATAATAGGCAAAGAAGCTGTGAGATCTGCACCTTAAAGGCTGAAATTCTCTTGGCTGCTGCTAGATTCCCTAAATGCCTTCAAGCAGTAGAAACAGCAGCACGATAAGTGGGTGGCTGATTCCCTTTTTATTTGTTTGGAGCGTCAGCCAAAAAGACTCTCCTCCTCCCCCGCCCCATCCCGTCCTCCTCAAGACGACCAGAAGTTCATTCTGTTACTTTTACTCACATGCACTACCAAAACAACGTGTATGAATATAAGTGAATTAAATCAACAAAAAGGTACGAGCATTGAGACGATTGAACAGAAGAGAAACATAGTGATTGGAAAACCCATTTCAATAATTCCCGGATTCCGATTAGTGTTAAGAGACATTAGCAGAACCAGAAATCCATTGTAAGAATTTATATTTCATATCTATGATAATATTGTTTCAGTGAAGGTTTTTCAGTGTTTCAAATATCGCGTAGTGTAGGACTTTACAAATTAATTTTCGCGACACTAAAAGACAAGGGGAGGATTATCTGGAAATAACTTGAAATAGATGCTTCAAGTATTTTTTATCATAAATGTCAATGACATATCAAATGAAAGGGACGTATTTTGTTAAATCCCTAAGCTCGCTTACTTTGCAGATTCTAACAAAGGTGAGACATGCAAAAGAGAGAGAATCCTGTATAATTTAAGTCAAACTTTGCCCAATTTAGGTTAATTCCATTCATAAAAAGTGCCGATATTTTGTTTGAGTTATAGATATCGATCTTCAATAGTAAAAGTGTGTTTTCCGCGTTTTCTTTATCCCACTATTTTCCAAATAATTTTAATTTTGTAGTCTTGTAATTAGATAGTACCTACTTGGGAAGATTAAGTGAGATTTGATAATTCATCCTTCTCTTAGCAGATATATTACTTTTTGAATACTATAACTTATTGGTTAATAACAAAGAAACTAGTTAAATTATTTGAACACGGTAAAAGCAAATTTCCTTATCAATGACATAATTCCATTAATGAAAAAATTACAAGGACAATCAGCGCTTGAAAAACCGTCGAGTGAAGCGTTAGGCTTTGTAGCCTATGTAGACTTAAATAACTAGGCAACTTTTGTTTAAAAAGGGGTGTCATCGTTTGTCTCTTTTTGTAAACAATGGGATTTTGAAAGGAGTAGTAGAAGAAATGTGTCTTGAAGCCACATTAATGAGATTCCATTCATCTAATATATTTACTGGCTTAGAGGTTATAATACTTACAAAACGTGATCAAGAGGTTCCGCTTAACACTTTATCAGCTTCATTAGAATCTTACTATATGCTATGCCTCCTTGAAGTTCTGGCATTCTTGGATGATTTTGCAAATACTTACATTAATTAATAATGCTTGAATACAATCATCTTCAAAAGTACAGGTGTGTAACAATATATGTATATATATATATATATTGCGCTAAATTAAAACTAACTTCAGACAGTCAATTAATATAACTAATTAATTATGTAAAAGTAATCAAAAGATAACTTATATGATAAAAAATATTGACATTACAGTTAATTAACTACCGTTCAATTGACTGAGGTAGAATAAGCTGAATGTTATATTTTGACGGATTTCAATTCTTAATTCATATTTCTGAAAACTTTTCTGAAGCGAATAATGTACATTCATTGATGGTATTTGATCTAACTTAAAAAGAAATCGTAACACTAATTTTCTAGCGTACTTGGAAATGTGAACAATCAAATTCAAAACTATAATTCAAGAGATCTTGCAAAACTGAGCAGTCCTAATAATTCTTAAAAGTTTTTAAAATTTTAAAATGAACTTATTTGAAAATTAATAATTTACGACCGAAATCTAAATAATATAACTTATTTTTTCGGGTATTTGCTGCTTGAATAACAAATATTGCAAAATTCATAAAAATATGTTCACCTAAGTAGTCATTAATTTTTTTATAATTAAAAAATTACCATTCTAAAGGTAAAATAGTCTTACGTATATAAGATACAGTCTAAAGTATACTTCGGACTAAATGGAATTCCCAATGTTTCTATTGAAAACCCCTTAGTCAATAAATCGATTAAGACTATATTTAACTTATTTAACTGGTTTCATAAGACTGCGTCTTCGATGAAATAATCATTTTTTTCGAATTGGCATGCACCACTAAGTTACATTCCTGAAGTTCAATCAAAAAGCATTTGTCTGGATTGACTACATCAACCTATTTGCAAGGCAGATTGACTTCTATCTTTAAATAAGGACTTTCCTTTTCAACACGCCTTTCTCATCATGAACATGGCCTATCGATTACTATGTCAATTTGCCGCCTTTTAATTGATCACCTCTCTCCCTCTTTAGCCCAGCTTTAAATCGGAAGTCGCAGTGCTGGAACACTTCCGCTGTTTCTTTATGCAGCTACCTTCCATCAACTCTAACTCACTTTGACCTTCTAAAATCCGAGTTAGGCAACACTAAATTATTTAATTTTGTCCTTAAAACATTCAAATCGTCCGATTAAAAGTCTCTATACCCATTAAATACCATATAGGCGCCTATTGGCTAGTTAATTAAATTAATTAGATTGTCACATCTTCTCGTGATGTCAATTTGTTTAAAGTTGATGAAAGTTTTTTCGGTAATGGTAATATCTTGCTAAACATTCTAGAAATACCACTTCTTTATTTAAATGAATTGTATAGGCGAAATATTTTACAGTTCAGGAAAACGTTGAATTTGAATTGAAAATATGAGTAAAAGTGGTTCTTCAAGGATTTCATTTTATTAAGTTTAAAAACAAAGAATTAAGTAAAACAAAACTGATTTTCCCATAATTTATTTTAGCCAATATGCTTCACGGTATTCACAAAATAATAAAGGCCATAGGAATTGTTAGTAGTAGAGAAATTGGTTTTAAAAACGATGAGGAGGTGAAACGCCAACATTATTCATTTAATTTTACTTAGCTCAAAGGTGAAAAGTCTTTATTCATCGTTATTCATCTCAATTTACAATTGTTTATCTCAAATAATATCGTCACACAGGGGTGTACGATAGACGTACCTCCACGTGGTGCCCCCTGGGCAACGTATTCTCATACTTCAAATAAGTCTATAGACCGGCAGTCGACTTCTGACTTCAAACTTAAACCGGCAGTCGACTTCTGACTTCAAACTACCATGATCCCACTGTATGTCTTATTCGATCACTTCCACCATACTTATCCTACCTTTCTCTGCCTTTGTATCTGTCTGTCTCTTTAACATCTTTAAATCATTCTTCTGTTCTCCCTCTCAACTTTTTCTCATTTCGATGTTACTCCTTCCCTCTTTGATAAATCTCATAAAGGCCGCCATTTGAGATAAATAAATAAATATCGCCACACTTATTTAGCATAGTTCTCCCTTCAAGTAGTGTCACATTTTTTGCTTAATTAGAAATCCATTTATGCTATGAACATTTTTAATTTTAATTGAGATTTTTAAGTTAGCTGGTGATATACCATATGATTTCAGTAAAATAAGAGAACGGCAAAATTGAATTTAAATTTTATGGAATTAATGAATATGCGCAGAAATAAATGAAGAAGGATCAGGAGAGGCGTCTGAAGGCCTTAGATCCAAAACAGTCTTTGACTAATTGTCGGACGACTTGACTTTCTTATCCAAATTCCCTGAATCAAAAAACAGATTGCCACCTATTAATCCATTAAACTAATAATTCATAATATTTAGTTTTATATTGATATGGTGATGGGCAAAATTAATAACCTAAGTTCGCATTACAAGCAGATTATAACCCTTGTGCATGTTTATTAAATTTCGAAGTAGTATAATAATCATCCTTCTCCTATATTTACTCGAATTTTTTGCGACAAAAATTCTAAAATTTTTTCCCCGACTAGAAGCGAAAAAACGACAGCTATTACTTGCCAATTAGTGACCAAACGGCAAAATAAGTTATTCATTGCATATTGTAAGACCAAATATGCCTCCGAGGGCTAATTTTCAACCCAAATTACATGTTCGTCGGATTTCGAACCTGAAAACAGTTTATGTTGACCATCATATTAGTCAATTAGACCTTAACTCTTCAATACTAATGTATATCATTTCTTCAAAAAATGGTGATACCTTAAAGTGCTGATAAATATTTAAATAAATGAAAGTCTCTTTGTTCTACTCATTCAATTCAATTGAGTGTTCATTTCAAGTTCGTTTTGGATTACCATGGTTATGTGAGAAGAAAGTCCTCGTAGTGACAGTCATTTTCGTATCCTTGTACCATTTTCTCTCTATTCAATTCCTAATAGCCAATTACTTTGAAGCATAAATTACATTAGTCGGAATAGCCATTGTAAAATTAATATTTCTGCATGAGCTACTGCCCATTCATTGATTTGATTTATTAAAAAATGCTGGTTATTAATTTCAGAAAATTATTATGCTGCTGATAGAAGCCATCTTACAACATAGATACTTGACTACACTCATACTCAAACCTTCTATATGGGGGCTGGAATACTGTTTAGGTGTTTGCATTTTGCAGTTTCTGATGCTAGAGTAATGTGCGCTACTAAAAGCGGACAACGCGTGAATGCAACATTCATGTGAGGTGTGAGTACTTATCTTTTTTTGCTAAAAGTCCTTGTCCTCTTTGCCGACTACCTTAATTGAAAGCTTCCGAAAACTTATTAAGGATATCCTCATTGATTTAATACTAATTGACTAATAAAAACTTACTTGATTAGAAGTTGGAAGACAGTCCAGAATATTAAGAATGAGTTTAGTGCCCATGTGGGAGTCCCCAGGGCCGGCAACTTGTGTGGCCTCGTACACCATTGGGTAGAGGGCGTTTGTGAAGAGAGGTTCCGGCAACTCACGGAAGAAATCCTTCATTGTAGCTACAAAAATTGAAACAATTTTTTTAGCTGATTATATCAAGTAAATTAGCAGATATGTTACTAACTTATCAATATTATTTGGAAAAACAACTCAAATATGTTCAATTAACGTAATCTCACCCGAACTTTTAAATAGATAAATAAATGAATAAATAAAAGAGTTAAATTAAGGATTAAAAACGTAGAGGCTTTAATACTAGTAACATTTTACAGGTATTTGTGGATTAGAATGGTTAGTATAATTAACAATTACAGTTGAAGGACATTTTCCTTAATAGAGCATAAATCTTTGGCTCAGAAGCCAATGACATAAATTCAATTGGCTCATGCCAGAGAAAACAGAAAAAGGTACTCAGTTTCGCTTGATTCCCAATTGCTCTTTAACTTATTATCTACTTTGAATACCTTTATTCAAAAAAGTAAAACATTAATTGGTATGCCCAATAAAGTCAAAGTTTTATTGTCCAACTGTACTTTTGATCTTAGAGCGGGACGAAAAATAAGTGATTGATTTGCATCAAAGAATATCGATAATTTTTTACCTTGAAAAGCCCTCTGAAATTTTCAATCTAATGAATAAAGTAGCTAAATAACTCATAAAATCAGTTACGTAAACGCTCTTTATTAATCGGCTTGGGCAGATTAGTTGTATGATGAAGCCGCCCTAGTGATAAACTCGGGTCCTAATGTTCATTTTATGCACTTAACAAGTGACGTGCGCCAAGGAGCGCCGACTTTGTACCCACTGGGATTTGAGTATTGATACACTTTGGAGCATTTTCACATCAGGTCATCTCAAGGTGATTTACGCTTCAAGATTATTTGCATAACTTGGGCGACCGACAATGGGAAATTTTTTGAAGCTCTACAACGGAATTGATCAATCAACCGTGGCTCTCATTTTGCATGGGAGAAAATTGAGACATTTCTGTAAAATATGAAGGGGCGAATCATAACAATTTATGCGCTTCAATAGATGAATTGATCATCTTCAGCAATTCGGAGATTTGAGGTACCATTTTTCCATTATTAAATTAAATGGAAATGCTTTGCAAATTGCAAAGCCAAAATGCTGCTTCATTGCTAAATTCTGGCATTAACGTTAATTTGTAAACTAAGCTTTATTTAAGCTTTGCTCTCCAAATATATCCCCTTCAGAAAGTTTTAATTACAAAACTACGTGTTGTGGAGAAGTTTCAATTTTTAATAATGTTTTACCTCGAACGATATTTGATTTCCCTATCACCTTTTACTGGAGCATAAAATGACCATTTTCTGATCCTATCAAAATGGTAAAGATCATGAGAGAAAAGGTTTAATCAATCAAGAAATTAGTAAGGACTCCATGACACAAAATTCCTGCCGTGAAGTTAAATCCATGCGAAGTGCAAGTCGACTTTTCGTGAATATTTTTACTGTTAACGGATTTCTCAATTTTGAACTTTCTAGTCATTTGGTTTTTTGTTCATAAGAGATATGGAGAGTATTCTATTAGACGCTTAAATGTACACTATTTGTTTTCATTTTTCCTCATGTTGCAATAATGATTATTGCAAGGGTTGCAAAATAGTAAAACACAACTATCCTATTTACAGGCATTTAAGGGAACACCCTAGATGCGGTTTTCCAATAATGGCTCAACTCAAGAGATGAAAAATGAAGTCAAATAGCTTTATCTTTTTACGCTGTATTATTTGAAATGAAGGTAGGAGTCCAAGCTATTCCATTACTACTACTGATTTTTGTCCCTAATTGGTCATGGTTTCTCTTCAATACAATAACTGATCCAATTTTGATCCACGCTAATCCGTTTTCGATCAGTTTAGCTACTTCAATACATTCATTTTCGAGAACATTTTGCCATGCCATTTAGTAAGGGAACTGGATAGGCTGGTTTCTCGTGAAGGATAACAGGTCTCGAGAAATCAATTTATTCATGCACTAATATACCTATGGAATTAAATTGACACTGCAAGTGGTATATTAATTTCCATAATTAATTATAGATAAAATAATGAAAAAGTCTACAGAATTTCTCCCAAATAGCAATGTTTTAACAAGAAGTCATGCCTATTAAAGAATATAACGTGTTGACCTAAATAGTGAATTTGATAAAAATATAAAGCCTAAATCACAAGCGACGATACGGCATTGTCAAATTTAAGCTCTTTGGTAAGTAATTGTATTTAAATTTATCAAATTGCACGAAAGCAATAAGATATACAATTTTAAACTTCGTGAAAAAATATTTGAAACCTCAAATGGCGGTTTGGAATCTTTTCCATAGCCACTATTTTGTTATGAAGAAAGAAAACAACTTAGAAATTCATTCTTGTTACCAAAAAGGGAATACTAGATCAGAAGATTTCTTCCAACTCATTATTAAAAAAACTATTTGTTTTACATTTCGTGACGAAGACATAAAAATGAAAAGAAATCAACAGGAAACAGAGAGGGGTGAAATTTAAACTTTATGATTCTAACCAGGCTTGTTTAAATTTTTTGTAAATATCATTTATTAAGTATATTTCTTCTTTTGAAAACCAGTTACCTTTACTATAGAAAGTTAATCAAATTTTGGTTATAATTGGTACTGTTTTCAATAAAATTTGCATTATTAAAACGAAATTCCAAAACTAATTAAGTTGATCTGATATACATATGTATTATGTTCACGACGAAAAAATTTCAATAACCAATAAAAGTATTTATAATTTATTGTTGCTTAAAGTCAAAATATACTGAAATGTCCATTAGTTGAGTATATATTTATAATGAAATTAATTAGTCAATTTTTAATGACATATTTTCTTTAATAAAACTGATAGACCTAATAAAAATAGTTTTCCGAATAATTTTTATTCTTATTCGCAAATTTTAAAATTTTTATTTAATGCTGTTTTATTAAGCTTTAAGATAGATATAAAGCCAGAGATACATTCATAAAACCTCATTTAATATGTTCAAAAGAAATGATTTTATCTTACCGGTAATTGCATGAATATCCGGAACAGCATCGACAGATAAATCTAATCCAGCCAAGGCTCCTCTGACTGCTTTTTCATTCCGTTTTACCAACGCTTGTGCTATTTTCTCAGCTGTTCGGTTAAATAAATCCCTCACTTGCATTTTCATCCACACAGAACCGGAAAGTCGATATATTCCAACTACCTCAGTACCCCTTCTGTCGACTTCTTCCACACACTTCCTTATCAGCAGGGGCACTACTGAGTCTGGCACAATTCCTAAGCTTGCGAGCATCCTCTCTCTGTACATAAGTTCGTCTAAACTCACTCCAAAGAAAGCAGAATCATAGGAAGTGGACAGATTCCGTCGAATATAAAGCGCACTCATCGGCAGAAATCCCGTTTGGAGATAGAGTACCCCTCTGGGTTCTAACTGCAGTGCAATTTTCTCAAATCTCATCCCCGATCGAGCAATTAAAGGACTTGTTAATGGTTGGGCTTCTTCCGCACTTTCTCCTCCTGGATTTTCTTGACTCGGAGATGATGCAATTTGTCTCTGAGTTATACTTGTCAGATCAATTCCCCCGTAAAAACACAGTCTGTGTCGAGTTCTAGCATCCCACTGGTAGATGAGAATGGAGAGAAATCGGGATTCTTCAATCTCCATTTCAAATACCTCATCCCACTCGAAATAATCAGTACCCGTTCGAATCATTGAACGAGCTTTTCGAATAGAATCGGTTTCAAGGACACAGTATAGGTCTCTTAAGGGCATTTGTGCTGTCTTCAGACCACTTGCAGCGATTATATTTGTAACAAGAAGACCACCGCCACTCCAAATGTCACCACCATCAAGATGAGAATGTTGCCGAAAACGGGGTGAAGTGGGTTCATGAACAGGTGATTGTGTTTGAATTGGTTGTCTTTGTGGTTGGCTAAGGCTTGGATAGGGTTCACTAGAAAGAAAATTGAATTGCGCGGAATTGAAATTGGATGGAAGCTGAGGTCGTGAAACGCTGCTGGGTCCGGTAGTTCCTGATAGAGTACGTTCTTGACTACTTCCAGCTATCGCACCAGTTAAGAAATGAGGAGGCTGCATTAAACTAGACTCTTCATTCACTGAATACCGTATTTGGCTCCCTGGGAGTTCATGAACTATTGAGGAAAAAATATGGATCATGCTATTAATGACAGTTGTAACATTTCTATTGAAAGCTATTTATTAGAGGACAGGTGTCTGTGTATTCATCTCAGTTATTTATGTTAAAATAAGTACCCTACTTCCACAAAGATTATTAGTTTATTTATACGCCATAGTAAGTGATGTAGAGAGACGATTAACATTACATGACTACCAATTAGACTGATTTTGTTCATATTAGGAGTCTCAATTTGGCAGCCACAGAACAGATCTTAAGTTGCCCCAAATTTCTTGGTTGTAGATTAATACACTGGGTCTTTCAACCGAATATCTGTACACATTCAAGCATGTCCTTTCTTCTAATTTATATAATGAAAATGAAAGCGAGAGTAAACAACTGTAGAAAAACCCACTCGAGTTCAATCTAAGCTCTAACATGCATTTAATCCTCGACTATGTACTCATTCTTTTCACAAAATGTATTAGTCTTAGTTCTAGAGCATAATGGAAAATGTTCGTTCCTATTCCTCAGAAAATCGAATAGCAATTATTTCTGTTACGAAGAAAAAGTAATAATGGATTTGATTCTGCTACTTTTTCTTGGTCTATTTGAGGAATATTGAAGCAGTATTTATATTTCCAATAATCGCATTAAATTGTGCTAGAGATAAGTTTCAATTTCATGCGAATGTACTTAAGCCAATCCAAAAGTCAACATATCCTTAATCAATGAGCATTTTTCTTCAAGGAAAACTTGAATTCAAAACTACGATCGAAGTCATCATGACGGATAAGAGATAAATTATTCAGCAGGAATATTTTAGCGAAAAGATAATAAAAATAAAATCTAACCAGAACAAATAAAAAATAATAGAAGAAATTGGCTGCTTTAAAGACTCACTTATTACTAAGGAACGTGTATTAATGGCAGTTAGAAATTCACTAAAACTACTGTCAAATTAAACTGGGGTGCGCGATAGACTTGACTCCACATGGTGCACCCAGGGCAAAATTTACTCATACGACAATAAAGTCAATAAGCCAGCAGTTGACTTCTAACTACCATTATCCCACTGTATGTCATATTCCCCCACTTTCACAGTACTCACCTTATCTTACTTTTTTCTCTACCTTTGTGTCTGTTTCCTTTACATTTGCGAATCACTATTCTGTCCCCCCCCCCTTCGACTTTCTGTGACTTTAATGTTTCTCCCCTCTGTGAAGCCAAAAGTCAACCAAAGGGTTAATGATAACCAAAATAAAGCCTGCCATTTGATATAAATATGCTATCTAATCAAACTAAAAATTGACGTCAAAGTACCTCAGTTTTTTACATAAGTATTACAAATTCACTGAAAACTTTGATGAAAGGTGAAATTCTATCATCAGAGGCTATTTTTCTACCATTTATTGTTATATAACTTTCGATTTGAAGTAAGGAGTCATTAATATTGACAAAAAAGAGATGGAAATCTTTTTTGAAGTTATGGCTAGAAAGCGGTCGTCGCGTAGTTCAATTAATCTTCTTTATTCCATAATAATCCTGTTGTTGTATAATATTGTATAGGGAACTCATGAAATGTAGAGTGTCTTTAAAAAAATTAATGATGCCATTTTAGCTGCTGTAACCTCTTCCACTTTCCTCAAGGGACTTGGTATGCTACTGCCAATCCCAAAATTTCCCTCATCCGCCTATTGCAATGTGATCTTGTGGGCTAGAATGCACGTAGTATCGCGCGCAATTAAAAATGCACCTATAGGTATACGAGCACCACTTAGCATCTTTGATTTATTGCTAGATCTTGTGATAGCTTCCCTATTTATGATTGGGGTAAAAGTTATATCGAAAACAACGGCGAGGACTGTAGGACAGAGGAGAACTTAAAACTGCTTATTAGTAGCATTTGACTTCATTTACCGTAAAAAATAGCCGAGGGCCGCATATCGTAAAATAAGATGAATTCAACTACTAATACTGCTAATACTGTCTGTTTTTAACAGGCAGATATAATATTTTTATTGTAATTTATTCTTTAGTTGAGTGACCTCAGATGTTAGTGACATAATTATCCTTGAACAAATCTTAACTTGGCTTTTAAAACTATTTTGCCAAATTTAGTCTCAACAGTCCGAACATTACCGTTAATGCGAATTATGATATTAACTTTAAAACATCCAGCTTCCGTCTTTGAAAAAAATGTTTTCTCTGGAAGACAATTAGCTTTAAGTCTAATTCATAGAAATATTTTGTTATATTTTTTCAGAGAAATTACATTGATAAATTATTTGGCGACTTGCCTACGCAAATAGTCGAAATGTGGGTGTAATTATTTGCAAACAATCGATTAACGCAAAAATATTCTTTTCTAACGTGCATAAAAAAGGGTCTACAGACTAACAAGGTGTTATTTTATAGACATTAAAACTAATCGAATTCCCTTTACGCACTATATAAACTTTAATGGTGTTTCTACCATTTGGTAAACAGTACAACGGGAAATAGTTTTTATTAGTTTAATGTCAAAAGTATTTCAAACTTCTGATTCCGTTCAGGTATTTTCACTTAAAAATGGACTTTTCAAATGGTTAGTCAATGTGCATAATCAAATAGAACTGTTTTGTGTATATAAATAACTGTACGGTTGAAATTATCATGAAATTACTGAGCGTAGTACATAGAGTCTTCCATTATCATATCTTTATATGACTAATTTGTTTTCGAACAAGTGTTATTGATTGTATAAATTATAGTATTTTAAAGTTGTGCTATTATTTTTACAAACGAATATTTCACATTCCGTTCCGATTGCAAACACTTTGAAGTCGTGAAGAAAAAAATCGATATTTTGGAAATTAAAAGCGAAGTCGCAGAACTCCATTGATGGTTTCAGAAATACCATTTGAGCAAAATTCTTAGTAAAAAGAAGACATCCACGGAATTCGCTAAACCAAGTTGTTGTCCAGGCAACATAAAGTGAGAAAATATATTCGCAATATAGTAGTATTATGGTATCTTTTGAAATTGCTGTATTTATTCCTTAAATAAACTCCATTTTAGACACTCAATATTAACAGATACATTTTAAGCTCACTAAAATAATAATGAAGTACTCCAATTTTCCTTATGACCTAATTTGTATTCCTCTTAGAAACCGTCATATATACGTGCAAATGTGTAACCATTTCATTTATTTTAATGCATATGTTATGAGTTAAAAATAGCAAAATATTCCAAACAGATCATCACATATTTGTATTTCCTATTCTCATAACACTTATTAATTTTCAAACAAATATTCCCACTAGCTTTATGGGCAAACTAAATAGAAGAACAAAGTAAATCTCAGTTAATCATGACTTAATAAGAAAAGCATTACTCTACCAGATTATGTCTTTCAAAATGTGGATAAAAGTCTATTTTTAAATGTCATTAGATGTGAACTAATTCATTTAGTCTCTTTTGGTTTTAATATACCCATAATAGTTACAGAGGGAGCATATATAATATAGTTTCCATTAGTCTAAGAATGATAATCTTCTTTCAATATACATACAAGAAAAAATGGATTTTCATGTCGTCTAATGTGAACCCAGATATTTTAAATTAATATTAATAAAACTAATTTAACAAACGTTTTATGATTTGGTTCAGCAATGGTATATACGCAAAAATTCTTAATTTACGTGAAGCGAATTTCAAACTACTTCAGGCATTAAATTGAAATTATCGTCAATATTCTTATTTACAAATCATATCGACTAAAATGCAGTCAATTATTTTAGCGTGCATCAGATGTTAACGCAAACGCCTGCATAGGTACTGTCCTGAACCTAACCCGGCCCAAATCAAGGGTTCGGAAATGCGAAATAATCGTACAAGTGGTCAAATAACTTACAATACTGAGGACCAATACTAATCTTTTGGTTATTTTTATCCATTAATTGCGGATTGGGAGCAGGTGGAGGGGGAAACTGTGTTATATCGACTCCCGGATTTCCATAAAAATCGGGAAGTTTTTGGAGGGAGGTTGCATCAAAATTTACAGATTTTCTTTGGTCCACACCACTACCAGTAGCGGTGGGAAATCGTGCGTATAAGGAGGTGTCTGCGAACTGGCCAGTTAAACTCCGCATTGCGACACTTTCGGGGGTCAAGTCCTCCAAGTGGAGACTTGCCCTTGACATAGGTGTACCCAAGGAGGGGTCCAAGGTCGTTTTTGGTGCCGGTACTCTTGACGTCGATTGTACAGCTGCCAGTGCCATTGCTGCAGCGGTGGCTGCCGCAGCAACAAAACTAGCTGATGGATATGCTTTATTTCCACCCCCAACAATTCCAATAGTGTTCTGTGGAGCAGCAGAATAAGTGTCCAGAGAATCGTACGCATTGACTTCGGAGTCAGACCAGTAGGGCAGTGTTCCTGATCTAAATTGAGGCTTTCTCCTAAACCCCGGATCCACCTCCCCTGATCCTGAGGGGGTATTAACCGTGGCATTCGCAGCTGCCAATAAGGCTGACAAGAGGGGATTAGAGTGTGGCTGATTTCGAGCCGAACCACCAGATTCCGGTTCACATTGTATTCCTTTATCCATAAGGGTATCTCTATGTTGTTGAGGCTGGTGGTAGACCATCTCGTGTTGTGGACTTGAGGGTTGTTGTACCGGTGGGGGTGATAATCCGTCCGTGAGGTCGAATACTTTTGAGGAAAGACTCCGGACAAACGGAGGTGGGACCCGAATTCGTGTGCAATCCGAGGGTTCTCGGAATCTAGGTTTTCGCCCCTTTGGATCACCGAAGTGAACCCTTGGAAGTGCCTGAGAAGGAAATCGGGAGAAAAGGGCCGTCGAAGAAGCTGACGCTCCAAGATTAGTTCCCGTTGCTGTGGATGTGGTAGTATTGTTGATGGGCGGAGGATTCTGGCCATTATTAGGATTTATTCCACCACCAGTGAACATTCGATAATTACTCGAATTCACGACAGCATGCGTCTGCGTGGTAATCCTTTCTGCAGACGGTTGATGATGAAGAGGGATGGGTAAGTGAGGCTGTTGTTGTCTAGTGGGGTAGTTAGAACGAGAGGTCTGCGATTGTTCACTTGACAGGCCGCTATCAATAGACTCCTTTGCCATCAGTAATTAACTGATGGCTCTTGTGGTTGATAGAACGCTGCATTCACTGATGAATAGCCGGTAATCCACATGGTATCAGAGTGAGAGAGGAAATGGAAGACCGCCTCTACATCACAATGGAAGTGTGAGTGTGAGTGTACATGAGTGAGACTGAAGTTTGTAGCAACAGCAGCCGAACGGAGAAGCAGTGGGAGCGTGATAAAGTCAGTGGGTGTGAACAGAGAGAGGGAGCAAGAGAGCTGTGTGTCGTAAGCAAATTCACTGGAAAAGCGTGCACGTTGGAATGAGTGCGGTCGTGTGCATGAACGCGCGAAAGCATTCCATAAACCACAGAGGAGTGGTTGAGTGCGGAAGTGCTTGAGCCCCGCTCTCTCTGATTGGACATGGTACTTACTCTCTCTACAACTAGCTGCTGCTCAAATTAGGAAGTCGATCGACTTGGCCTACGCTCTCTCTATGTTACTCATGTATTGTAGGGAGTGGACTCAAGTGCGGGTGTAGTGGAAGTTAGCCTGCTCTCTCGGGTACTGATGCTGCTGCCGTAAATGCAGGCTACTGCAATTTCCGTTCACCTCCACCATTTGCCTAAGATCTTACACACATATGCTTGCTGTCATACGCACAATTTCTTCCTCACTTCGAAGATCACTTTCTTTTCCCGCCCCCCCCCCCCCCCTCCCGTTTACCTTTGTCAAATAAATTACCAATCAGCGCACCTTTCATCCCTTCTCATAAATCTGCTCCTGACACAATTTATTTCAAATCAATTTTTTCTTGTATTTCAGATCACACAGGTAAGACTTCTATCCTACGCATTCATAATGCCTCTGATTACTTTTGATTTAATTCATTAATTGGTGAAAATTAATTTCTGTTAGATGAATTTCTCTAAACTATACGCACTCTTGAAAGAATTTTAGAGTGTCTATAAATCTGTAGTAATAAAAACAGGTGTTTTATGGTTACCTCCTTATTATCAAGAGTATAACGATTCAGTTAATTTTGCTGTTTTTTTCAATGAGGCAGCATTTTCAGCTTTAAGAAGATAGAAGGCGAGCGGTACATATGTGCATGGGAGCAACGGCCCAGAATAGCCATTTCTCATCATATATATATATATATATATATATATATATACCTTGTTTCCCCTTGATGAGCCTCTCCCAAACTAATTTCGAATATCTCCATAAACTAAGCAGATAAAAGCTACTTGAATGGAGGTATAACATTATTCTAAAATAGTTTGTATTTAAATGGTTTTTACAACGGTTTTCACTTTTTATTAATTTAAAAGGACATTAATAAGACCTTTCTACCTGTACTAATTTGAATTGGAAGCGAGGTTTTTTGTGTTTCCTAATGAAATTGAATAAACAAATGCGTGACTTTCAAACGAAACTCCTAAAACCGTCATAACCTTCAATTTAGGCAGAATTTTCGAAGACTCGTTTTGAAGACATTTAGGCGAAATCTGTTTCCGAGTTCCATAAGCAAATCTTTCAAGTGGTTTTATCTCTTAAAAGCACAATAATTTTTGCTTTACTTTAATCCTTATTGCTACTTAGCTGCTTAATGGTGAAAATTGAGAAATACAATTAAAGCACATCAAAGAACTTCTTCTTTGTTCTTATTATTTTGCTAAGCTATGCTTCAATGCTATCTTCTGTCAGGTTTAAAAAGAATTAAAAAAAGTCTAATAGATCTTAAAACGAAAAAGAGTATTGCCCTTAGCTGAAAGCCTTCAGGTGAATTCCCTTTGAAAATCATTGGTTCCCATGAAAAAAATTTAATGGAAGTATAAAGGACTGAAGTATGGTAGTTTAGGTCGCATAATAGTTCTTTGCCTTCTTTCACAGACCAAGAATTTCAACTATGATAAAAGTCATGGCAACTTGGCAAAAAGTTGTTGCCCTAACATAGTAAAAAGTGTCGTTCCTTTATTGTTATTACCTAGATGTATTTATAGTTAAGTCAAGCAAAAGTGCTATCAAGGCACTCTGACTTGGAAGAATCGTAATATTCCAAAACGGCTA